GGTGGTGGAGGCTTTGTCGAAGATGAGTTCATTGAGAAATTGAGGTTTTTGCTTCTGGAATCTCTATCCTGTTCCATTGTTCTATATGCCTGTTCTTGTACCAATACCAGGCTGTTTTGATTATTGTAGCTTTGTAATAAAGTTTAAAGTCTGGGAGTGTGATGCCTCCTGCTTTGTTTTTGTTTGTTTGTCTATTTGTTTTGCTAAGAATTGTTTTGGCTATTTGTGGTCATTTATGTTTCCATATGAATTCCTGTATTGTTGTTTCCAGGTCTGAGAAGAATCCTGCTGATAAGTTAATGGGTATTGCTATAAATTGTAGATTGCCTTGGGTAGGATGGACATCTTAACAATGTTGATTCTTCCAATCCATGAGCATGGAATATTTTTCCATTTGTTTGTGTCATCTTTGATTTCTTTGAGCAGTGTTTTATAGTTTTCATTGTCACATCTCTGGTGAGGAAGATGCCAAGGTATTTCTTTGTGTGTGTGTGTGTGTGGCTATTGTGAATGGGATTGTGCTTTTTATTTGGGTTTCTGTTTGTTTACTGTTGGTGTATAGAAATGCACAAAATAAATTTGCACATTTTATACCCTGAGACTCTGCCAAAGTCCTTTATCAGTGCAAGGAGGTTTTTGACAGATTCTCTTGGGTTTTCGAAGTATAGAATCATGTCATCTGCAAAGAGTTAGGATAACTTAGCTTCCTCTCTTCCTATTTGAATACCCCTGATCTCCTTCTCTTGTCTGATTACTCTAGCTAGAACTTCCAAAATTATGTTGTAAAGGAGAGATGAGAGTGGGCACCCTTGTCTTGTTCCGGTGTTCAGGGGAAAATGGTTCCAATTTCTGTCTGTTTAGTAATATGTTGGTTATGGGTTTCTCATAGATGGCTCTTACTAATTTGAGGTATGCTCCATCTATGCCTAGATGTTTGAGGGTTTTTATCAAGAAGGGGTGCTGGATTTTATCAAAAGCTTTTTCAGTGTTTAAAGCCTTTTTTGAAGCTGGCACTACCTCCTCCCCTGTGTGTTCAATGGGAATGAGAAATGACCTTTACTATTCAAGAGAA